CCCACCCCCCACCTCCCCCCCTCGTCGGGCAGCTTCGTCTGTGCTTGTAAATGGTGACCGTTCTGTGCTGCCCATCTCGCTCACTCGGTTTGTTTATTATTATTATATTTTTCCCTGCTTTTGTTGTTACACTCTTCTGTGTTTTATTAAAAGGGAGGCCGGTGAGACAATGTTATTTTTTTTCCCGGTGGTGGTGGTGGTGGGATTTCTCTAGTGTTTTCTGGGATAGGAAGCCAAGGACAGAGGGCACAGACTGGCAGTCGTTTTTTTGGGGAAAAGTAGTCTTTGGCAGGCTGTATGCAGCAAGATCCTAGTCCTCAAGGTTGGGGGGAGGGGGGGCAGTCATTTTTTAGCAGGGAAATGTGTGGGCCAAGCTCTGGTCAACTTTGGATGGGGCTCCCATCATCTTTCCAGAGACCAGCCGGTGATATCTTTCGTGTTCCTGAATTTAATTCAGATCACTTCTTTTTTTGTGTCTTTTTTGTGTCTTTTTTTTCCCCTTTTAAATTAAGGCAGTCCTCGACTTATAACAACTCATTTAATGACCGTTTGGAATTACAACGGTACTGAAAAGAGTGAGCGTTTTTTCACAACCCACTCAAGCGTCCCCACAGTCACGGGATTTGCATTCTGATCCTTGGACAACCGGTTCATAGTTACGACGGTCGCAGCGTCCCCTGGGGGGGGGGTGTTTCGCGCCATCCCTGTTTTGCGACCTGCTGACGAGCGACGTCAGATTCGCTTAACACCAGTGCGACTCACTTAACAACTGCCCGGGATTCAGTAAACAACTCTGGCTAGAGAAGGTCGTAAAACGGGGCAAAACTCAACCTTCTCTCTTAGCGACAGAAATTTGGGGCTCGGTTGTCTTAAGTCGAGGACTACTGTACTATGAGGACTTTTTAGCGCAAGGCAGTGGAAACAGAGGACAGTTTTGACCTGGGAGGGGAGCTTCCGTAGCCTCAGCCGCAGCTGGAGGTCACGGCTGGCCCACCAACCTTGGACCAGAGATCTTGGCAGGGCAAGGAACCCCCAGCGGCACTACCGGAGCAGCTGCAGGTCAGGAAGCCCCTTTGGTGACCTTTCCCTTTGCCAGGAGCCCCTGTCCTCTTTCGTGTGCAACTCGACGGCTTTGTCTGTGTGTGTTTGCAAATTGGTACAGGTAAGGCCTGTTTGTGTGGGGTCCGGAAAAGCCACAGGGTGGGAGGTTTCTTGGCTTCTCCCACCCGAGGAAGCCGGGATGCATCTCTTATGTTGGGGAAAGATTAAGCCAAAGAGCTTCCCTGGGACTCCCTGCCTGAGGCCCCTGCTGGATTTGCTCCCTAAAGCCCCTTTTCCTCCTGGTTTTGGACTAGAAGACCTCTAAAGTCCCTTCCAACTCTCCTGTTCTATTCTATCCTATCCTATCCTGTTCTATTTTCTATTCTATTTCTCCCATTCCATTCTATTCTGCTCCTATTCTATTCTTTTTCTATTATTTTCTATTCTGTCTCCAATTCTATTCTCTTCTATTCTGCTCTTATTCTATTCCATTTTCTATTATTTTTGATTCTATTTCTCCTGTTCTATTCTGCTCCTATTCTTTTTCTATTATTTTCGATTCTGTCTCCAATTCTCTTCTCTTCTGCTCTTATTCTTTTCCATTTTCTATTTTCTATTATTTTCTATTCTGTTTCTCCTATTCTATTCTCTTCTATTCTCTTCTGCTCTTATTCTATTCTATTTTCTATTCTTTTTCTCCTATTCTATTCTATTCTATTCTATTCTCTTCTGTTCTGCTCTTATTCTATTCTATTTTCTATTCTTTTTTATTCTGTTTCTTCTTTTCCATTCCATTCTATTCTTCAGATCCTCCTTGGGATCCCATTCTGCCCTGTTCTTTCTTCCCCCTCCCCCCCCCAAAAATTCTCCCTGCTGTTGAACCATCACCTGGGCAGACAAACCTGCAGCTGGGTTTTTCTTGGGTTTTTTTCTGCATTGTGTCCCCGGGGCCATCCCTTGGCCGCTGGCATCTAGCAAAACCCACTGCCCCGTTTCTCCTGCGGTGCCAAAGTGAGAGAAAAGTCTCCACTTTGGGTTTTTCGTCCCGATTTCTCAGACGCAGAACAGCAAATGCTTCTCCCCCCCCCC